AAAGTAGATTCCAAGCTGTTGATTCTATTATAATTGCTCTGCTTAAAGGTTGTGATTGTGCAAATCTTGCTATTGCACCAGGCTTGAGAAATGGTGCTGAGTCAATTCAACAATTTTGCAGAGCGTTGCCTGCCTGATGTGAGCTGATTCACGCGGTCAATGTGGAACGCATCATATCACCCCATCTCGATTCATAACTTGGCATAAATTGCCATGACCCAGCATATAATTTTCACATATGTGTGATCATCTCTACGTTTTATCCTCTTTTCCACGAAGATGTGTATCTAGGTGATAACTTTCATAAGTGGACATTTATAATACTTACCCTTAATTTTTATCTGTGTCAGCAATGCATTGTGGGCACAATTCGTGCATTGTTAAATGGGCTTGCTAAGGTGTTCAGTTTGATCATCCTAACCTCTGCTGCAACAAGCCAGCAACAACGGTTGTTAAACAAGCACCAATTCTGGAAACTCATCTGGAGATTTGTAAAAAGATGCATCCTCCTGTCAGTAGTATGCCGCTAATGGTGCCTTCCTGCTCAACGCATCCGCAGTTATCAATGCATTCATCAGCCTAGGCATGTATTTTCCTGGTTAGCACTCTAAACTGCCCTAGTTTACAATAATTTTGTAAAGCTAAGGACTACTCGGTTTTTAACTTTCCAAGAATACTGAACTGAGTCTCTAACAGATCATTTGGCCACTCAATGTGAATTTAAGCATTCATATCCAAAAAGTTATTTGCATTGCCATAGTCTTGGAAAAATCTTGCACAGTTTTGTGATTTGAGCCAACTTTAGCCAAAAACATCTGTTTACATGAGGACGGGAATAGACACTGCTTTGTTTCGGCAACTCGCGCAGACAGTATGTGGTCACAATGTGCAGGGGAGGAAAGTATTTTGACTACGCCAATCACATTATGTAGTACATGGATAAAATTCAGTGTACGTTTTAGTCACTCTTCTTCAAGTAGTGGCTTTTTAATTGATCAAAAAGGTTGGAAAGATATAAATCAAGTTGTGCAAATAACTGCCTTAATCTCCAGTTTTGTAAATCACTGCTTCTATTTCAACAGCACCACTACTTTGCACGTATTCACTTCTCTGGCTAACTTACTACTCAATACTCGAATCCATTACCATCCAGTCCAACTCCAATTTTCAACTTCGTTATATCCCTACACTCTATGCATCAAGGTGCATTCAGAGTAATATAATTCATCTCACCGTCAAGCCACAACTTCGTGCTCAATTAACCTTTGTGCATGGTCAGAAATTTTACCACCTGCCCGTTAGTCGCGGCACACCAGTATTCCTTCATAGATGTTCAGATAAAGCCATGCTCTCCACGGCTGGGATTATACTGTCTTTTTGCTTCAAAATATTTACCATTAATTTCACTTTTACTTTTACCCTTATTTAGAAGATTGAGACGGGCAGGTGTGGCCTTATTTAAAAACCCTCAGATAATTGAATGGTAGGGGTAAAGTGACAAAAAACGGAAATCAGCATTTGTTGGCTCCAAATCATAGGATTCGTGTGTTAACTGAATCTCTTTTCATGCCACCTAAAGATGTTATTTACCTAAAATTAGTAGCATTTGCAATGATACAGTGAGGTAACGTTACCAGACAGAAGTAGAAACAAGGAATGATTACCTCTGGAATTATTCCAAATTTCGCGTCATGAATCCTGAGGCATAGCCCAAAGTTAGCCCACGGCTTTGGCTTTAAAAATGCGTCAACTGAAACTATTAAAGGGGTTGCTGATAAAATTGAATTAAAATGCCTAAATACTTGAATATTTTGGAA